TTCACCTCCTGGCTGTGGTGAGATTAATCAAACATGATGCCCATACTGCAGCTTTATCGGTGCTCCACATTATCAGAGGAATGTATTGTAAATTACAATACTCTAGCTGATAAGCTGCATAAAGCGATACAATAACTCAGAGCAAAGACAAAAGATCCCAGTTATTTATTTTGTATTAGATAACAGAAGATGTGTTGTGTGTGCACTCACCTTTAAAATCACATAAACACATAAGACCTTCAAGACAGCAGATATAGCCCAACAGCTGAATAAAAGCTCTTTTTATCTCATAACAACCAATGTCTTTTATGCATGTCCTAAAGCCTGCATGGAGCCATGACTTTATCTTGAATCAACACAAAACAGTAGCACTGTACAGCCAACCTGGTCTCACTCTGAAGTCTTCAAATACTGTCACTTGGTCAGTGGCCACTTCAAAATATGACGCTCTAGGTATCCCGCTAGCATAATTTCAGGATGTGGCGGCCGTCAAAGTCAAGTGACGTAGTTTAAAGAGTGAGAAAGTGGCATGGAGGTATCCCGTGTGAAACCAATAGTAAACAATTTATTTTAAGTAACTTACATAAGTTAACTTATGTAATGTACTTAAGTTACATCAGGTACATACTGTAGCTTACAATCTTATCCCAAACCAAAGGAATTAGTTTTTGTGCCTAAACCTAACCAAACTACTCACTACACATTTCACAAAGTGAACTATACAAGCTTTATTTTGAAAGTGTAACTGGACATTGCATACTTATTAATGTGAATTTGGTGGCAGGGCCCTGCGCATCCAGAAATGATGCAATAATAATGAACTAATCATATCAGCTCTTATATTAATCTAGCATGACTTTTTTTTAAACCCATTCCCTCCTAAATGTATAATTATCAAGAGCTTTTGCCGCTGTTGTTCAGATAAATACTTGACATACGCCATTGTTGGAACATTTCAGTAATCATGAGACTATTAACTGTTCTTGGCTTTCCTCCGTGTTGTTTTGGTGGTTCCATCCAATTCTGTGAAGCAAAGAGCTCCACTGCGCTTTTCCTGGAGCCGAGATGACCCACCAAAATAGCTGAGTGAGGTGGGCACATGGCATAAGGGTGGGATGATGCCCAAGTGAAAAAAAGTATCTACAGTCAGTGTTTGGTTTGTCGATTGTGGGCTACTGTAAAAGCATGGCAGTTCAACATGGCGGACTCCATGGAAGGCAACCCGTGGCCACTGTAGATAAAACATCTCATTCTAAGGTAACAAAAGCACAACTTTTATTATCAGGTGATAACACTCTAATGAAAACAGACCTATGAATATTATATTCCATTTCTGCAAATAGATATAGAGTAGCTGTAGATAATATACACAAACAACTACCTCCTCAAAATTACATTTTCATTTTTTTGAATTCCTAATTCCTATAGACCACCAGCTACTTTTTTTTCTTCATCTTGTGAAAGTGCAGGGAGCACTTTCACTCCCATCCTCTCCTGGTTGTATATCTGAGTTATTCTGGTATCATAAGCTCTGTGCTGTCACCTGTTAAAATGAAAGTAACCATACTGCTGGTTGAAACAGCAAAAACACCAGCCTGCTTCCTCTTTCCGCACATGCCACAGTTTCCTCTGTGGTACAACTTGAGCAAGATTTTTATTTTTTTTCCCTCCAGCTTGAATGCATTCAGAGTTATCATGCGCTTGACTTTTCTGAACTGGATGAATGAGGTGCTTGGTTCGAACAGAGTCAAGTTAGGACAGATTTTAGCTGCTTATCTTTGAACATAGTATAAAAGTGTGACAGCTACAATTGAGTTTTAGCTGATTAGCAGTCTCTGTACACATACATGGCAAAGCAGGTCCTGGGAATATCTAAAAAAATAGTGGAAGGGAAAAATAAAAGCAGAAGAACAGCACTCTATCCATTTTTTTCCATGTGTTGGACAGGAAGCAACGCAACCCTAAACAATTACAAAAGCCAACACTACATCATCCAACTCGATCAGTCGATAACAAAAAAAGCACAAAAGTTATACAGACTGACAGGTAAATTGTTGATTTGACAGTTTTGGCAGTTCCTGCATCACCAGCACCCACGTGGGGCCATCAAATTCCAGTGGGTGACAGAAGTTTATGGAACGGTTTAATGCTTCTGATGTGTATGTTTATGTTATTCTGGTGTCACAAAGAAACTCTTTAAAATATAACTGATTATAAGCATAATTAGACTGCAAATCAACCGCATGTTATGATTGAACAATGTTATATAATGAAGTGTATATGCTACACAATAAAATATTTAAATAACAAAGCATCTGTAATCTTTTTGGTCTTATCAATGTGTGGAGGGAGTTTCTCTCTCCAGTGTTTGGTGCTTCGATGTAGCCTTGACCTGAGTTGAATGAACTGTCCGTATTCTGCTGAGAAGTTATTTCCGTTATCTCTACATCTTTTGCACAGATTACATTAATTGATTACTCTAATTACTCTTTTTGTTCATGGGACTTTTGCTGCACTTGTGACGTGTTGAGCGTCTCTCACACACACAGCAGTGTGGAGGAAAGAAACAACGAGAGAGATGATGATGGCTGCACATCACATGAAAAATGTATCAGTAAAGCTCAACATAGCCAATACAGATGCCTTGATCGGCACCGGTACCAATTGGTACCAGATGCTGATGTCCCCATTTTCAACTATATGGAACAGGTAGTGGTGTTGTTTTCCAAGCTGCTATAGGGAAGGCATTTCCAATCTTCCATACGTAATATGACATTTTGGTAAATACGTTATTTGCTTTGTTGCAGAGAGTTAAATGAGAAGATTAGTCAAACTGTATCTGTATGCTGAATATGAAACTCAAAATGCAAGCCTGGCTCTGTCCAGAGTGAAAAAATGAAGTGAAAAACCTACCAACACCTCACTGAGTAACAGGTTGTGTCTCATTTGTTTAATCTGCACACAAACAAAAATGTAAGAAACACTATTTGTGGTTTTAGAAGGAGCTACGTGTTGGAACTATTTCTTTACAAACAACATTTTATCTAAGTACTTGTACATAGTGTCTTCGGCTAAGGCGCAGATTGCCAGATTCGGTCGCAGGTTTTTGTTGGTTCTTTTGTTCTTTGTACAGGAACTAATAAAGTAATTTTTTTTCACTGGGGCCAAGAGTGTAACATCCATTTTCTGCTTTTTTTTTATAAGTAACCTGAGAGCAATGGCTAACTAGTGTATAGATGAATGGATGTCTATTTTTGTACAGTATTATTAGGCCACCAGTGCTACACAGAGGAAATTAAAAATCAACATTGATCACATAAACTAAGTGAAATTTAATACATTAATAAATACTGCAATATTGCCTTATAATTAGTTCAGGTTTCAGTATATCTGTGCTGTGCTTAAGTACATGGTGTGTTGTGTACTTGTGAACTTTGTTTTGAACCTTAGGGGCCACCGTAACAACATCCACAGCTCAAATCATGACCTTTAGTGCTGATTTGCTCTTTAAAAAAGGGCTATACAAAGAGCCGTCCTCTGTAGTAAATTATACATTAACGTCCCGGTCTGGAGGCCTTGTTGGGACTTTTCCTTTACAAAGAAGAGTCAGCTGCTGCCACTTAAAGGGAAAATCCATCTTAAAAATATAATTCACATGTCATTCCTATAACATTGTACAGCTCAGTTTGTGGCTGGTCTCTCAATAAAGTGGCACAACACTGTTATAATGATGTACACATTCATGGGCAGAAAGTAATTTACTCTAAGTGCTTCTTCTATATTAGATCTATTTTGTCTGTTATATTAGAACACACATGCTGAGGAGCACATATCCCAAAAATGTCCCTGTGCTCAAGTGAACTTTTGTTATTACCGTAATTCAATAAAAAAAACACGCAAGGTCTACTCAGGCTAAGTGAGTATTGATAAATCCAATAAAATGAATCATACAATAGTAAGTATGAGGCCACTGAGAATGAACACTGTCCTGCTTCAGACAACTGAAAAAGTTTAGACTAGTTGCATTTCCACATTGAAATACACAAAGTGAACAGCACATCCAGACCAGGACCAAATACAGCATCTGATGCAACACTAGACACTTTGATGACAGGGAATACAGCACTGAGGTGTTTTTATTTGCCGGTTTTGACTAACATCAGCTGCACAAGCTAACTAGTCAACGGCATCTGAAATTACTGTTGGTAACAGCTTCTTTTAGCAACAAGTCCATCTGCAATCTCTATAAATCATCAAACTAGCTTCAGGTTATATACACTGGGAGGTTAACGGAAACGCATCTAGACAATGTCAGAGGGAAAACCAGACAATATTCTCTCCATAAAAAATGATCCAGTTTCACCCAAATCACGGATAAAGTTGTGTTTTCATACAACAATTATTGAGGCCCGGCCCCCCTGCAAACACTCTGCTTCGGTAGCTTGCAGTGCTGTTACTAAAAGTTGAAGATTGATTGTGATATTGTTGGCTGAATCGGTTACATACATATACATTGTTAAATAGGATCACAATATAACTGAGGATGCAATCTTTAAGGGTTAAAATTACATTTTTCAATTCATCTGGACGTTAAGGAGCCAGTTGACTGCAGATGTAGTCAAACCAATAAATTAAAGCTGTAAAGGAACTGTGGAGGAACTTATCTCTACCAACCACAAAACACCCAAAAAGCCATTTCCAGAGGCACATTTCCAAACTCAGCCAAAAAAGGATCACAGGATTTCAGAAGGTCTCACTTTTACCTCCTCTAGACGATATGATGATCTTGATGATATGGAGGTCTGGTGATGGCTACATAAGATTTGTTTAGCTGAAGGGGTGTTTAGACAACAACAACAACTCAGTTATGGATACCAAAAGTTTGAATCTGTTTCAAAGGCCTCAGACAGGCTCAACACATAAAACACCACAAAGATTCTCAAGTCAAGTGAGATAAAAGCCCTATCCTGTGAGACTGGAGAAAGACACCGCTATCTTACCTGTGGTTTGTCGCAGCTCTTCACACAAACTTATGTGGGGGAACTGCAGAAGCTGCTTCCATTTCTTGCTTTTGCCTTTTCTGTTCCCGCCACCTCCTGTAAAACAAACAGGTTTCAAACTTTTAAAACTTTTAAAAATCAATTCCAAGAATGATTGCTTTGGTGACAAAAAAAGCACTCTGAAAAGATGTGGATGTAGAAACGAGGTCTGGTGGTTAATACAGTAACACCACAACACCAAAGAGACAATACACTGATCGTCAGCGTGAATATGTAAGACGTGACATTAATAGACCAGGTGATGAAGCTGGCCTATTAATGTCAACACAACCATGGATCAGTGAGTCCTCTCTGCTGATTTATTCAGTTATTTGGTTGGTATACATACGGAGGCCTGGCAAAGTATTCAAAGTTAGTTTAAGTCTGCCTCCACTCAAAACTCAAAAATATTCCTACAGGTGAGTTTTCACATTCATCTGCTGAAAGTGGAAAGTTTCTCTGTGCTCATTAAAATCTGATTTTATAGAGCAGGGCCTACGAGCATGATTTGTGACAAATTGTTTGGAAATCAATGCAACTTGAAGTGATATAGAAACTTGAAGCCGTCAGAGCACAAGCACACATAATGGACTTGACAGTAAAGTAGGAGACATCTTGTGTCCAGCGAGAAAACTTTAGAAATTAACAGAATTTGCATATTTATAGATTCTGGATTTTTTTTTATGTGGTAGAAGGAATAGATGCCTTTTTAGGATTTAATTTACTTTTTTTTGTGAAAAAAACATATCAGACACACATTGCACATTGGTCCACGCAGACTATTTGTGTGCTGATATGTCTTAATACATGTCTGGAGGGGTTCTTTAAATAAAGTAACAACAACATTAATCAAAAAGACTCTTTTAAAAGTTAAAGGCATAGATGCAAAAGTTCTAAGTAGAAGTAAAAAGTACAATATTTGCCTCTAAATTAGGGCTGTTACGATAACCGCAATAATAAAATATTGTGCTATTGATAAGCCAATCACTGGGGATGAGGTCCCCACAAGGTGAGGATTAATGTCAACAAAATGTCTTCACAAGGATAGTAGAACATGGTTGTGGGTTTTGGTGCACAGTTTCTTGAGAAACTGCAGAGTGAACTCAAAGCGCAAACATCACTTGAGCAATCAGAACAAAGCACAAAGTCAAACCAGAGGAAGTTCCTGTCCTCTCCCCGTTAGTGCTCAGGCTGCTTTTAAAAGCTTGTGCAGCCACTCATACACTCCACAGGTTTTATTCACCTTACTGCAATAATAAGAAAGAGAGGCAACACAATGCTCACTGCAATCTCATGCAAGTTTCAAGTCCCTGCAAGCTGATTCATTTGCATTCTCAGGTGCAAGTATTTGCTGCTTTTCTCGTTGTTTTATGTCATTCTGAACTATATATATATTTGGCTTTTGCACAGTTGGTCTGACCAGAAAAGCCATTTGAAGACATCACCTTGAACTTGTGTAACATCATTCACCACAGAAAGATCTAATCTAAAAAATAATTGAGTAAATAATAGTGGTCTCATTCATCCTGTCTGTCAAGTGTGTTATTATATTATATTATATTATATTAAATTATATTAAATTAATAATACATTCGAACCAATCAGAAACTACAATACAAAATATACTAAAATTCTGACTTTTCACTGAATTGTTTTGTCAAAATAAAAATCCAATATTTATATATATATATATATATATATATATATATATATATATATAATATAAAATGCCTTGTTTTGTCCTGCCAACAGTCCAAAACCCAAAGACATTCAGATTACATTGATATAAAACAGAGGAAATTTTGTAATCCTCACATTAGACAGGCTGAAACCAGCAAATATTTGGCACTTTTTGCTCGATAAACAACAAATACCTTTGATATCATAAATCAATATAGAAATGTGCTTTTTAACCTGAGAAACATACAGAGAATGTGCCCATAAGCTCTGCTAGTGGAGAAGTTGATTACAGTAAAATAGGTGTGCAGCTCAATCCACGCTCTCTCTACTGTCATTAATACACAACTATGCCATGATTGGTCAACTGTTTCTCTAACTGAGGGAAACAGCTATCAATGAGCGCAGCATGAACCCTGTTTGAATCGCTGAACAGACGTGAGCGGTTATTTTGGGGTTTGGAGCGAGGCTGTATGTTGCCTGAGAGGCAAAACCACAAAGCACATGCTGCTGCACGTAAAGCTGATAACTTGGAGTGCACGTTATAACTGAAGGGGACTCAGATGAGTATATCAATATTTTTTTTAACAACTTAGAGCTTCTCTCATCTGGATTTCAGCAGCTGGACAGTCAAAGGTTGTGTGTTAAAAGAGATTTTAGTGAGTAAATTATATTGGTAGTGTAAAATGAAGGGGGACATGCCCTCCCTAGTCCAGTGGAAATGACTTCCTTGCCTTCTGTAAACATTTTACTGGGCGGCCGTCAAATCTCATCCAGAGGCAATATCACGAAGATTAAACATGGTGATGCTATAAAATTTCTGAGGGACCGATTGCCCTTAGTAATGCTCCAGGATCAAACAGTCAGAGACACAGTGTAGAAGCTGTAGATGTATTTACTGATAACAGAGAGATGTTGTGAATACAGCCGCAGACTCACTGTGTGTTCTGACCAGGAGAAAGTCAATACCACGCCTCAGGATTTGCTATTCAAATACTGCAGGGCAGCTGCTACTCAGACATGCCCGAGTAAAAATGGATTATTGTCATAGATACAATGCAAACAAGATGTTTTGTTTGTGTCCGGGAAACAGATGATAACATCAGCCACAGAATTACCAATAAACTGATTGATAACAGAGAAAACAAGATCCCTGATGTCCGTTCTCTGCATTAGGGGAAATGTAAATGAAGACAAACAGCATGACAATATGGCCTGTCAGTGAGACAGGAAGGCACTGAAACACTGATTCTCCACCAAATGATAAACATGCATAATTAGACTCAAAGCAGTCAAATTAGCTTTTAGTCATGAAATCCTCCCACACTGGCAGAGAGTAAGGAGAAGCGTTGTGACCACCAGGTGACTTCTCAGCAGTGTTCTGGAGGAAGTCCATTCAACCAACAGTCTGTGACGTGATATAGTATCTAAAGACACTGAACTTCAGCCTGACATAACAGTACGGCCATACCACCTTAATAAATTGCCAATGGTGTTGGGTCTCTGTAAATAATCTTATAAGGAGTACGGTCTAGACCTGCTCTATTTGAAAAGTGTCCTGTCTATACAAATAAAATTGAATTGAATTTGAATTTAATTAAATGTCCTTTTTCCTACCAGTATGTCTAATGTTACTCCATAAAGCACATGGTGTGTATCCTCCTGAATATCAGGCTACAACTGACAATCATTTAAATGATCAATTATTTTGTGAGTCTTTTTCTCGATTAATAAATTAGCTGTTTAGTCTGTAAAAAAAAATCATAAAATAGTGAAAAATGACTGTTATCATTTCTCAGAGCAAGTGATGTCTTTTTTGTTTGTTTGTGGAACAACAGTTTAAAACCCAACAATATGCATTCAATACACGATTAACTAATGAACTAAATAAATTCCAATTAATTTTCTGTCAACTGACTAATTGATTAATCATTGCAGCTCTAGTTGAGAGCATGTCCTTCCTCATAAAACACATGTAAGGCAGTTGTTTTTTTAACATCCAGTGCTGCAAGAATGAATCATATACCCAGAAATGAGTTCACATTTTAGCACTTCCAGTTCCTAGTCAATGGGGGTTTTAGTCAGATGGTTGGGACAGATTAATGTACAATAAAGGCTTTTATTGATATTCCTCCCTTGCTACTTTTTTTTTGAAGTACCTGGATTGCCTTTCTTTAGACTTCAGTATCTTTCAGTGAATATGCTCTCATGTGGCTCTCTGGACTGACCGTGTCCAGTGAGTGGAGGAGAGCAGCAGTCGACCAATCAGCAGGCGGTCTGAAACATGAATGAGCTGTGGGTGCAACAACCAATCACTGATCCCCATTGTTTGTCCGGGGGAACTTTGTTTTTGTTCTAAATGATCTATCTTTACCGTCCACTCATCCATCTATTATCTGCAACCACCTACCCTTCGCAGGGTTGTGGGGGGGCTGGAGCCAAAGTTTTAATTAGCAATAGATGTATTCAACTGCTTCAACTGCTTCAACTGTATTCAGATGCTGTCAACTCAAAATAGTCGCCAACACTGACCCCGGGGGGGCAGTGATCTGAAGCTTGCACCATGTCAATGTGACAGCAGCAGTTCAAAGCCAGACTCGGTTTAAATCAATCACATGTCCTTAAATCCTACGTTGAAAGTTCTGAGAATAGTATTTTTCTTTCCTGGGACATAATATGACACATCAGCTGATTTTTTAATGTTGGTATGTAAAACACAGTCAGGCAGTAACTCAAATGTCTTGTTTTGTCCACTCATAAGTTAAAAAAACAAAAAAAAACAATTTAAAATGATGTAAAAAAGACAAAAGCAGCACAATTCCCACATTTCAGAAGCTGGAACCTGAGACCATTTGGCTTTTTTGCTTGCTTTTTTGCTTTTCTGGCCATTAGCTAATCAATGAATGACAAATATTCACCCAATGGGGGAACTATTCTGAACTGATATCAGGAAGTTTACTATAAAACAATAAATGCATGAACATTTCCCGAAGCATGCAGTAGAGTTGTGGCTTTTTCTATTGACCGACTGATTGATTAATCAGCTCATTTGTCACAACTGTGACGAGGTGCTGTCCACAACCTCTGCCAATATGATCTCGACGGGGTGAACCAGGGAGTGAAAACATCAACTGACAGATATCTTCAAGGACATCTTCAACATCTTCCTGCTGTCCTCACATACTTCAAATCCAGCACAAGTCCTTCTTCTTAACAAGTCCCTGACTGAGAGTCTAAAAACCTCCCCCTGCCGCACTCACCCCCTGTTTTGTCATGAAGTCTTTTGAGCACCTGGTCAGGACGTCTTACTGCTGCACTGAATCATCAAGAATCCTGCAAGGTTCTCCTCGATGGCGCCTAAACAAGCTGCCCTCCTAAAAGGCTTCAGTTTAAAACTACAAATGAGCACAAGTGCTTCTGAAGAACCAGAGTGAAATGAACCTGATAAACTCTACACTTCCTGCAGCTGCTTTTCAGGTTAAAAGGATTCAAGGGAAGAAAATGACTTTTACTGTGAAGTAGCCACGGGAAATGCTCAGTAGTTTTAATCAAATAAGCTGTGTTTTTTTTTTTTTTCCTGTGCCATCTCTAGATTATGAGAGGTCAGTACCATTATACAAGAGTTCAAGTGGATAAAGCTATCAAACAACAGCCAACAAGCTAACAGACAGCTCTTCATAGTCTAAAACTCTTCATGCAGAGGAAAACAGCAGCACAACAGACATGTATAAACCATGCTGGAAACAATGCACCATAAAACCCTTTGGAAAAACCAAAATTTCAAATATCCAGTCATTTTCAATAAGATGATGATTATTATGTATTAGGCTGCGTTCAGGTCACATGGGGTCAAAGGTAAGTCGTCATCAGACAATGGTACACCTGAAGAGTTGTTCATCTGAGGGCAAGAATATAGACAAACTAACGCTTTTTACCTTTAATTTGCATTTGATTACCTTGAATGACGGACTGAATGACCATATTTGTTTGCATTTCCAGGTACTTCTGAACATTATTTAGGCATTTAGTGTTTAAGTTAGTTTGAAAGTTGTAACTTCTAAAAGAAGAAATCATATATTATTCCTCTTACAAAACTCATAGAAGAGTTTGCAGCCAGTAACTGACAATACTGAGTAAAGTCTGGGCCACACTGCCTGCGTGTGCAGCGCATAGTTATGGCTCCCTTTTTATTTCAGTGCCCATGGTAACAGGTGAGCGCAGTCACAAAATCATCTGTTCATTGTCCTATTCACAATATACCAGCAACATATACACCTTTCACACGTCACACATGAAAAAAACATATACTGAACACCTCCTGTATCGGTTTCAGATTAAAAGCTCTCTAGCGTTTTTGTCCTTCTAGCGTTCTATTAATATGTTAACAACGCTTTTATTGTATTGTATTTATCAAAGGCAAACTTTTTAACAGAATTAAAAGAAAAACATCAAACTAAAGCTACAGGTTACTTGGGGATTGAACTTTCATTTGACAGCCAGCCTGGTGTATCCCACATGATTAAAACAAACAAGAAATACGTCAGGAGAAAATTACACTAATAGATGTAACTAGGGTAATTATAGGTCGTCTCAAAACACTTTGGTGCTGTTTTCTGTCTGTCATGACGTCAGCCACATTCCTTTTATATGTACCTGACCTTAAGTAGCTCAAACGAACCGTATGAACTTACAGTGGGTATTTTTATACAGACATGCAATTGTGTACGTTTTGTTGCAGATAAACTGTCCTAATGTCAGAGGAAGAATTTATACAGATACGGCAAATCACACATTATTATATGAAACTGGTTACTGGGCTTCTCAAACTCATGCTCTAACACAGGTCTAGTTAATAGAGTTCTTAAACTTTATGATAAACTTCACATTTGCATCTTTACTAACGGCTGTCCTTTGCTTTCGCACAGTCCCTGTCGTTTGATTGATGGTCAATTTGAGCGTCTTTTTTAGGAGAATATTAACTGTAAATGAACACATAGATTAATCTTGTTTTATTATTTAAGAAAATGTGCAGAGGGTTTTGAGTAGTGTCTGCAGGTCTACCTTTCAGGCTGCAGGTACAACCTCCACCAGTCACAGGCTGGGACAGTAGGCTCTGTACAGCCTGAAAAAAAGTCCATATATCGCCAACTCCTGCTCTTACAGCTTCATCTCTGTGAGCGCACGATAATAACTGAAGGCAACCTAGCTTAACAGGTTGATCTTCTCACTGGACATTGTTTAGGTAATGAAGAAATCGAAGTGTTTGCCTATCTTCACATCAGTGTGCAATACTGCTGTCACACTACGTGATTTTTACTCACTGAGGTTCAAACTGTTTCCTCTCTCCCTGCCATTTGCAGCCATGGGAAGTTGCCTAATGTTGCCTGTTGTAAAGGAAAACTCCACCCTAAACTTTTAACACCATCTAAAATGTCTTTGTTCCAATTCTATACCCATTTTTTTCCTTTTTGCCTCCGTCCATGAATAACTAGTAAGTGTAAGTCTTTGTTGCTCTTGGATAAAAAAAATAACAGAAATCCAAAGCAGAGACAGAGAGACCTTTGACTTGTTATGAATAATAGTTAATTGTAGTAAGTTAGTTGCAGATGGCTTTCAAGCAACTTTTAGGTCTGTGCAATGAGATTTCTGAGGAAATAAACTGCCATGGAAATCGGTGCTTTGGAAAATGGTGGTAATGTGAAGTATAAGCAAATTGTAACTAAATGAGCCATCCAGCAATTTAGTATTCTACTTTCATAAAGTTCAGGGACTCAAAAGAGACAAGTAGTTGTTACAAGCAATACAACAAACTGGCAATGTTTTTTACTTAAATCAGGAACCTTCGAATCAAAGAATAAGAGAACAAGATTGAAGATATGAATAGGAATTTGATGCCAACTTTCAATATTAGGTGGTTTCCATTCCTCTGTATAGCTGGCTTTGTCTATTTATTATTATTACATGGGTAGTACGATTTGAATTAATTTTACATAAAGTAAAATTCAAGGTTATGGACAGCAACATGTTGCTGCTAGCATAACCAATACTGTTGGCAAACCACTGACATACTTTAGATTTACAGACTTTTTAGTCTTTTTCCACAAAGGAGGTAAATTCACGTAGTTCCACATTAAAAAAAAGCATCTATTTCAGTCTCTACACTTAAATCGCTGCATCCTATAATTTCCCAAATGCACCGTACAGTAATACTGTCTTTCATTTGACCAATGCTACATCCTAAATCCCCACTTCCCTCAAACCCCCCCACCGGTGTGTGGCAAGCTTTCAAATTTTCAACCCTAAGCCAAGATAAACTTGATGGCGTACAGTAATCAAACTTTGGAAAGCTGTAAAATCCGAGGAGTCTGCCTTTAAAAGGCTTAAAGATACAAAAAATATACATACAGTCCTTTAAACTGAATGCTGTTACCTCCTCCAGTGAAGACTTGCGCTGGGTGTGTTGACAACTAATAAGCAGTGAACTTATCTGCCTCATCAGGCTGCATAAATCTCTTTGCATTAACTTCCTTCAAACCTATATAAACATCTTATATTATCAAGTGTGTCTTTTTATAGCTGAATCACACAGTCTAGTACGTCTGTCCAACACATATGATAATGGTGATGATGATAAAAACACCTTTTGCTCCCTGGTGATAAAAGAACATCGAGTCTCCAGTGAGGTCAGAGGTCAGGGAGATATGGTGCCTTGCTCTGCCCAGATGAAGGGCACTTCAGCTGGGCGGATGGGGTGCCAACACCGAGGCTTGAGTCCTGGTCCTCTCCAAGCACAACAGATAAGCTGAATTGAGCAGATGAGCTCACAGTGAGGGATCATGACACTCATCTTCTCCTGTCCCTCTGCAGATGGCATTAGGATTATGTTGGCAACAGTCACCAAACCTTTGTTTCCTGTTTAGGATAACAATAACAGAGGGCTCTCTGATGGTGTTTCCATTGTTCACAATAAGATGTCGGTGTACAGTTTATGCTGTAACTACCCAGGAGTGTTATCATGCCATAGGACAGACTGCAGTGTTTGAAAGATGTTTTTATCCTACATTTGCATTTTATGCCTTTATCTAAACCTGGGGTGACTTAAGAGATCTTAGGAGGCCCTCATATGTATTTAAAACATCACTCATTTTAACATGAAACCTAAAACTCAATGACCAGACATTGAAATTCTGTGCACAGGCTACAAACCTCAGGACAGCACAGCTGCTATGCCTCAACATCCTGTTTCGCAAACGTCAGGACGATGCTGCAACATCAGCAAGGGAAACCCGATGTGTCGCTGCAATCACATTTCACAGTTGCAACCCCTTCCGGACCTCTCATACTTCGCCTTCCATGTACAGAATCAGAGCCATGCCAAACTTATGTTAAGAATCTGGGCATTTTTACGCGCCCGCTTGTCACAAGTGTGTCGGTTTACTTTAAGCAACGTACACAATACTGACAGCGTTTTACAAGTCTATGAGAGCCACTGTTCAATTCGGCACACGCTAATAAACAGTGTTTTATTTCAACGAATATTCAATTAGATCTTGCTTGGCATCCCCGCTGTCTTTTACCAAGCCCCGCTGTGAAGGTGGTTACCGTGTTACAACGGTGTTATTGACAGTTTCATAGCGAGCACCGTCAACAAGGAAGGCAAAGATTTTATCAGAAAAAAGCGATTTACTTAAACAATTTCCGCGCCGAATTGACCACTGTTTGCCAAGAAGTTGGCCACGGTCTTCAGACAGGTTAAAGCACGCATGTACGATGAAGGATACGCCGGAAAACTTTAAATTGCTAACGTTGTAAACGGAGTTCGGCACGTCGCTCTATCCGCTCGAGAGAACGGCGCGTATTTTAGGTAATATCCTGTTCGTATTGAACCGGCATCATCAAAAGATTTTGATTACCGGCCAAGAGGAAGTGCAGTAACAGTTTATATCAACCCATGTCCCGGGGGGGCATCCCTCCAGCCGTGGGACCGCTGCTCTACCGGGTGAGAGGAGCTGTCAAACCGCCGTCTCCATCCTTACCTTCCCGTGCTTTCAGCAGCACCGTGTTGGCTACGATGTTCTCCAGCTCCATGTTGATGCTGTCTGGGGGGTTACACAGCAGCAGCAGCAGCGGCAGCAGCAGCGGTAGCAGCAGACGGGGCTCCCGGTGCCCCACGGCGGCTTCAATCTCAGTTTATCCTCCTTTAAACACCGTCCACCACCTCCTCCGCACCGCCCAGCCAAGGAGGAAAAATTCAACTCCTCTGTTTCTGCTTTCGCACAGTCCCTGTCCGGTAACAGTCCGCACCCCTCCTCTCCCCTAATCTCCTCCTCCTCCTCCTCCCTCCGTCTCTCCGCCCTTACAAAAAAAGCGGCTGTCAAAGAGGAGGAAGAGACACAGACTTCTCACTCTGCTATAAAAAAAATTGCTGTTTAAAGAAACACCTAACGTGAGACAGATATCACAGACAGACCTCTCACTCTGCTCATACTTCCCTCCTCCTTTTTTCTTTTTGTAGTATACAAGGTGATACAAGGTCAATTAGTATCTTCTCGGGTAACTTAGCAGCCTAATTATCATCAGTTAAGTGTTTTTTAACTGAAATTAAATTGTTAGCATTCAAAATCTACAGCTGTTTTTTGGATCATGGGAAGCTATGGCTAACTGTAGCTGCAGGACCCTACTAAAATAAAATAAAAAATAAATAAAATAACTGTTAAAAGACTTGGTTCTCAAGTGTATTAGGCTACAGTGTACGATATCGAACAGAAACCTCTGGTGTTGTTAATCGTAAAGGTTATTTCCTGACCTTGGAAATAGAATCGTATTTTAATAAAATAATCTTCAAGGTCAACTTTCTGTCTTTTTCTGGGACTGAGATAATCGGGAAATGCAGTTGACAGCTCCTGAAAAAGCTATAGTACGTTGATTTTAAATGTACTTTATTAAGATACATTTATTCCATCAAACCCCCCGCTATCATGTTTTAGAATTATGTAAAATCTGGCTTCACGTTCGCGTCATTGTTGGAATTATTTATTTATTTATTTGAGTTAAAAGAGAGTTGTCCTTCCAGAAAAAGCTTTTATTTTCTAAAAAGTAGTTTTTCAATGTAAATCAAATCCCTTTGTACAGCTGCCATTTGACGTGTCACCTCCACCTGCACTGTTGTACTCAGTATGAGCTACTAAACCTCAGTTGCCCAGCAGCTTTGAGCAGAATGCTGAAACTAAAAAGATTGCTAACAAGCCAGCTTTTTTACTATTTTTTAAAACATCTTCCACCTGCCATTTTTGTTGTGGTATTTTTATTTTTTATTTTTTTTAAAGCAAAATAATACATCTTTTAATGTGCATGCAGTCATAGCAAGAGCACTACTGTCTAGATTTGTGTGGTATTTTAATCATTACCATGATATGACGCATTATGATTCCAGCTGTGCATGGGCTCAATATGTCCACATAGATCTGTTTATCAATTATAATAATGTAATAATGTTTCACATGTTTCCTGAGCTTGATGTTTGAACAGTTCCCAAGATGTTCCACAGTTTTGAACACTTTACTTCCATGTTTGTTTGATTTACTACTTCACAATAACTAACTGATCCACTGCTAATAACCTATAGCCACTAAAAACATTCCCACCCACTCCATTTGTATTTCACAATGACACAATAGGTCACAACTATTTTGAATCAATGCAACATGAATAAAATCCAATTTCTCTTTGGCGGCCAAAAAAAAGGCTTCAGTGTCCCTGGATGTATCAATCAGAATTGATGCACTGTTACGAATGCAGAGATCGATAGATTACTGACTCCAAAAGCTGCTGCTCTTTGTGGCTCATCTCCCATTCTGCAGAAAGTGGATTTCCCTGCACAGATCAATGAAAGTGCCACGGTGCATTATAGGTGCATTAAGAAGGACTTTCACTGTTTTGCCGTGCCGAGTGACGACAGCAGATCATATCAGGCAGAGGGAGTTGATAGAGTTATTGATCATCATCTGTCACTCTGGGATTTCTTCTCCTGGAAACTCGCTGTCTGTGCCAAACTTCCACTTGGAGCCATCCTCCCGCCCTCAGTGTCTGCAGTTGTTCATTGATGAGGAGGACGGCGTGACCTGAACTGTTCAGAGCTACAAACACTAAAAGGCCTCTTACCCATACCAGGACGAAGGAAAACAACTGGGAACAGCCTATGTTACCAGTTCCTTATCATATTTGAATCCTTCATGGCTGCTGGTTTTTAAAAAACAAATACAAATTATTACAAATTATTATTTTTATAAGTAGTAGTATTATGTTAATTTCAACATGTTTCAATGTGCAATTAATTGATTATTATGTCATTCTTTGTAATCATCTATAACTGCAACTGCAACACCACAATCTTACAACTTACTACTATTTATTTAATTTCTGTCAGCAATACTGTGGAATATGTTTACATTTACATTTACTTTGTATATAGGCTCTTATTATCTTATTTCATTTCTTAGGCTCTTATTTTATGTCTATTTCCATTTTTATTTTTACTATATGCATATATGTATACATTCATTTCTATTCTAAAGTCAAGTCAAAGTCAAAATCAACTTTATTGTCGAATATGCTATACATGCACGTCATACACACAGATGAGATTTCAGTCCTCTCAGACCCACAGTGCAACCAGGAAATAAAAAAAACTAAGTAAGTGATAATAGAAGAGACATAAAATAAACAGTCAACAATCAATCAAGGGCACTTTTATTCATTTACCACTTGTGGTATTCTATATTTTGTGTTAGATATTGTATATAAGTACTATTTCTTTAACGTTGTGTGAGTAAAACAACTGTTTCCCCACAGGGATCAGTAAAGTATTACTGATTCTGATTATGTAAACAGTATGACCATTAAAGGATTCTGTGAGAGCGTGACTTTCTCATGATATTCTGTGCTAAGGCACTTTTAAAAGTCTTCTCCTGGAGCAACTAAACAATAAAAGTAGACAAAAAGTAGACAAATAGGGATGAAATAATGGGAAACTGGCTGAAATGTAAACAAAAAGAAGACTGGACGGAGAAAATGTTGATGACGTACATCAAAGAAAACATACAATAAGGGAACTTTAGTACCAAAAGACAATTTATTGTGCAGACAAAGCAACAATAGAGAAGGACCATGCTTCAGGTAAGAGCATTTTAGTCATTTTTTTAATAATCTGATAGATTTGGGCCCTGCTGTTTATTTGACCCTGCTGTCATTCTGAATAAAAAACTGAGGTGACCAGTATTTGTATTTGATCGGCAGCTTGTGAGAAACTTTTTGACCTGTACTGACACCTAGAGGCGGGAAAGTAAAGAAAAAGGAACTGTAAAGGGTTTCACATGTTTTTTTAAGTTGTGTGTTCTCCTCATTAATGTATTGTGGACTAACTGTTCTTCAGCATTTAGACTCAGAATTCCTTTTAGAAATAAAATAAAATACAGTTGAAGGTTCATTATTCTTTGAAACAGCCGTTTAAAAAAGGTTTGTGGCACAACGTCCACGTATTGGCCTCCTTTACGTGGCAAGTTAGTTGGTGTTCTTTCTTTCTTTCTTTCTTTCTTTCTTTCTTTCTTTTTTTCACACTGTAGATTATTAAGATTATTATTAAGCATTAAGTCAAAAGACATGCAAGGTGTCATTTAAAAAAAAGATATAGACCTAAATATCTTAATTTATAAAATGAAATAGATTATACAAATGTGTTAAAGATGAATAAAATAGTTAGAAAACAGGAGAATACAAGCCAAGATATGGTTGAAATCTCCAAAATATTTCCAGTAAGTGTCTTACTAAGCAAAGAATTACAGTTTCAGTGAAGTTTCAGTACATGCTTGATGCTGTACATTAGGACTGCAACTAAAACTATTTTCCCAATCAATTACTCGCTATTGTCCATAAAATAATGAGAAAATAGTGAATATTTGCAACCATACCCAAGTTAACATATTGACTGAATGTCTTACTTTGTCCAACCAGTGGTCGAAAACATGGTCAGTTTACTGTCACAGGACACAATTTAAAAACAACTATTACAAAATAGTCACCTATTAAATTTCAGGGAAATAGAAATAGTACTACGTCACATTCAGTGTGATGTTAGAACACACCTATGGCATTATTTTTTACATATTTTGTGGCTTACGTGTTGTAAATTTAAGTGATTATTTTTTTATTTAGTCAGTTTTTAAAACAGTTTCTACATTTTCCTCTACGTTTGTCTGTTATATTATATATATATATATATATATATATATATATATATATATATATATATAACATGTGTTTTCTTTTCTTTTCTTTTCTTACTTTTTAATATTCTACTATTAAAATTATTTTGTTTAAAAAAAAAAAAAAAAAAACGGGGCGTGGTCTCTTAAGTCACATGAGCGGAACAAAACAAACGTCTACTTCCTGTTGCCTGCACGTTTTCCCCCTTCACCACCAGCAACAAACCTTCCGCTGTGCTGGAAGAAAGAAAGAAAGACACATCGCGAACATGCCGAAAGCCAAGAAGTCAGGGAAGAGAAAGAACTTCGATTACAGCCTGGACCGAAAGAAACTGAAGAAGAAGTTCATCAAGAAATACAACCCGAGGATAGAGAAGTAAGCGCGCGTACGTTAGCATGTTAGCAAGCCGTGGCTAACCCCCCCCCATGTTGACACCATGTGAGAAATATAATAATATAATATAACTACTCTGTTAGAAATACTATAGTCTATAAATACGTGTTTGACGATTTAATGATACTAGATTAGTAGTTTAAACATCAGAGCATGTTTGTTGAAGTCTAAAGTCAAATAATAATAAATAAATAAATAATAAATAAAGTGAAGTATGCCCAGACATTACGATTTCCCTGTCACCTTTAATTCCCCTGTTTTATTATTATATATATTTTTTTATTATTTTAGTAATTTTACAAATTGTTTAGGTTTTAAATTCAGGGATTTTGATTAATTATTGTTCTCGGATTTGTGTTTTATCGTATAACAACTACTCACAGCTCTGCACTTTGGGCAGTTTTGTTCTTATCACAAGTCAAAAAATAATTATGAATTATTAAATATAATGGAATTGTTAAGATTTTTCTTTGTATGCAAACAAAAAGAAAGATAATAGATCTTCTTATTGGGTGGAACATTGATGATAAAATATGTTTACAGGTGGTTTTGGATATAAAACTACAGAGCAGTACCTTTTTTTTATAGTAATGATTTAACAGAACCGCACAAACTGGAACTTCCTATTTGTTGTCTGTTGATGTC